GAAGGAAGGAAGGAAGGAAGGAAGGAAGGAAGGAAGGAAGGAAGGAAAAGTAAGGTGATGGAAGAGGAAACTATATCAAAAGTAGTTAAAAAATAAATCATCAAGACTTTTGCTGTAACAAAGGTTACATCTTTGAAAAGATGTAGAAAAAAAGATGTAGAAAAAAAACAGTGTAAAGATAATTGATAAAATTGAAAGAGACAATCGTGGCACAGAATTAGCTGGACACACGAAATCTTTTCATCCTCTTTTTGAGCATAATCCTATCCAACCCAGGTATATTCTACCTCCCGAATGGAAGGTTCTGACAAGTTCCAAAAACAAATCTGTTTCTCCTAATAGATCATTCAGCAAAAGTAAACCCATGAAGTCATCCCAGAACCCTCGTGTTACTCTCCTAAGCCGGAGGATGCTTCCCCGTTGCCTCAACACTGCTCCCCCTCCTTCAAACCATCGCATCTTGCAGGCAGGTGTGTTGACTTAAAGCAGCTGGCATAACAAAAACGTGCCAGCACAAAGCCTGACACAGCTCAGGGAGCGTTCCAAAATTAACATTGCTGGCCTCTAGTTGTCAGAGAGGCACGATGTCTCACTCTTCCATATTAAATGAAGGAGGGAAGAGAAGGGAGGGAAAGGATCTCATTGCCGAAGTTGACAAGTCAAATGGAATTCTTCTCTCGTTCTGCATATCCACCCCCTAAAACAAGCCAGCCTAGGAACACAAAGAAATAAAAGGTGAAAAAGAAGGAAAAATGTGGAGATGGGAGCAGGAGCAGTCAAATTTCACCTTCCCTCTAAGTCAGGGGTGTCAAACTCGATTTCATGGAGGGCTGCATTAGGGTTGTGTTTGACCTCAGGGGGGCAGGGTGAGAGTGGCCAGCTTGATGTCACTCGTATTGGGAGGCCTGAGTGCTTTGCCAGCGAAAATGGGTTCCCAAGCGCTGTTTTCAGCTGGGACAGGCTCCTGAAACCCTCTGCCAGCGAAAAAGGAGCTCGGGAGGGCTGTGGACCGGTCCTTCACTGTTTTCAGGGTGGCTCCGTGGGCCAGATTTAAGCACCCCTCGGCCCTTGAGTTTGACACCTCTGCTCTAAGTTATGATGCTTCCATCTCCTCTAAGTTTGGATGCTTCCTTCATGGGAAGTTGTATGCTAGGCTGGTGTCTGGAGCTGTCATGCCCCTGTCAGAATCTGATTTGGAGGGGGAGGCAGAGCAGCTGACAGGGAGTGGGAGTGTGGCTCCTGTTCTATATTAGCATTCTCCAAACACTGAATTCTGATTGGTCCACACATTCCGCAACCCGATTGGTCAACTGAACGGCCATGATTGGCATGCTAAAAATCAACCGTGATTGGCTGAGCCGATCGCGAGAGATTCAAAGCGCTGTCATTGGCCGCCGAGCCGCAAGCAATCCCTATATGAAGGGCTGCCGCGGCTCCAAGATCTTGTACAGGTCTTAACACTGAAATAAAGAGCTGAAAGTACACTTGGTCTCGCGTCTCTGTGGGAACCGATCTACCCGATCTAACAGCTCCGTTGTCTGTGGAAGAAACTGGGGAAGGGCAAAGGCTGGCTAGGCAGAGCAGGGGAGAAGTAGAACAAGGGAGAGGGAATTTGGAAGAAGACCCCTCTTCATCCTAGGGCATGCAGGGAGGAATGGAGAAGGGAGCAACATGAGTTGCATGGCTTATGGGGGAGGAAAGGGCCCTGATTTCCTTCATTAGCTACAGTTGGGAACACAGTGTATAAAAGAGGAAGCTGCACACAGCAAAGTTGTGGGAAGCAAATCGTGAATTATTTGGTATCGGGGCTTATCTGGGTTCCTGGCGTCTTCCCAACTGTGTGTGTTTTGCTGGGCTTTCAAGTCTGCAATTCCTTCTCCTGCCTTGTCAAATTAATTACTGCAGCATGGTTTGTTTGGATTTTTATTTATAGCTTATATGAACTTTGTTTTTGGACTGAATTTCCTCCACTTAAAGACCGTTCTTGGGAGAGTTTTTTCTCCAGTCAAAGGTAAACTGGACATTGGGGGCAAAGTTGGAAGTATTAAAGGGACACTTCTTGCTTATTTGACTTTGTTGCCTTTGTGCCATGCCCTGGGTCATCACAGGAGCTTTTGTGGTTGGTTGTAGGACTCCAGTGCCTCTGAATTAACGTGCTTGATCTCTGGTGATAGCCAGTTTGTAAAGAGACATCTTGGGTAATGTAAATTCCATCCTTATCTAGGCCAGTGTGATTTATGCTTCATCGAATCTTGAAGCCTAATATTTAGCACTTCCTTGCCAAAACTAAATATTTTCAGTTATACTGACAGAGATTCCACCTCATTTTGATCGCTTCCTTTCAGGAACAGGAGCTCTCAGATCAGCCTCACCTCTTGAAAGAAGTCAGTTCCTTCATCAAAATCGGTGCCTTGGTGATGATGATGAAGATATCTGCAGAATTTCTCCTTCAATAAATGTTTGAGGAAAGGCTCGTACTCAACAGACTCTCCTCATTTGCTCAACATACAACAAAAAAGATGTTGGGACTTTGGAAAAAGTTCAGAGAAGAGCAAGTAAGATGATCAAAGGCCTGGAGACTAAAACATGTGAAGAACGGCTGCAGGATTTGGGTTTGGCTAGTCTAAAGAAAAGAAGGACTAGGAGGGACATGATAGCAGTATTCCGATATTTGAGGGGCTGCCAGAAAGAAGAGGGTGTCAAATTATTCTCCAAAGCACTAGAAGGCAAGACAAGAAACAATGGTTGGAAACTAATCAAAGAGAGAAGCAGTGTAGAATTAAGGAGAAACTTCCTAACAGTGAGGACAATTAACCAGTGGAACAGCTGGCCTTGATAAGTTGTGGGGGCTCCATCATCGGAGCTTTTTAAGAAGAGTCCAGACAGTCACATATTTGAAATAGTATAGGTTCTCCTGCTTAAGCAGGGGGATGGACTAGAAGACATCCAAGGTTCTATTCTATTCTATTCTATTCTATTCTATTCTATTCTATTCTATTCTATTCTTCTAACCCTAACCCTATTCTATTCTCTCTAATGGTAGTGCTTCAGTTAGGTGAGTCTGAAGAATTCAGATAGATCAAGCAATCAAACTAGTCCAGCAGGTGTTCCTTGGTTCATTCACACTATTCACAGTTGAACTTCAAAGGATCCTTTGCACAGACTGATTGCTGCTACTTTAAATATTCAGATCATTTTAAATAGACAGAATCTCTTAAGTTATCTGAAACAAAGTCATTCAGAATCACGAGAGCCAGTTTGGTCTAGTAGTTAAGGTACCATGCTAGAAAATGAAGGACTGAGAATTCTAGTCCTGCCTTAAGCATGAAAGCCAGCTGGGTCACTTTGGCCTAATCACCAGGAGACTGTGAGTTCTAGTCTCACCTTAGGTGTGAAAGCCTGTTGGATAACTTTGGGCCAATCATCCATATTCTACATGATCTTTCTCCAATCTGATTCTCTTCACAGTGTTAAATCCAAACAAGCCGGGGGGAGGTGGGAGTTGCAACCCTAAATTCTATGTTTGCACTTGGGAAGTGAGGAGAGCCAAATGTCAACTCATAAAGCATTCCTGGCCTGCTCTTGAGTTGCCATAGGCTGGGGTGGGTGGGACCGGTGGAGCCATAACCTGAAGCATATTCCACACATATCTTCCTCAAGGCTGTATCTCAGGCTATTGGGACCAACCAGAGAGGCATGATTTCTACAGCCTGCAAAAGTACTCCGTTGGAGAATGTGATTTATGACACAACCTGAGGGGAGGGGTGAAACAAGGTCATAGGTGGGCCATAAATTACTTCAGGCAGAGCTGATTTCATTTGAGTAGGTGCTGACATGTTGCTCCTAATAAATAACTGGATTTCTTTTGAAACTTGGCTCGAGGCTCATGGTTTAATTAGGGCATATGTTGGAACCCTGACACACAGATCACAGGATTCAAACTCCAGAACTTTGACTGGAAGTGCTAAGTGAGCTGAGCTCCCAAAGAGCCATGGTGATTAGAGTGCAGCACTGCAGGCTACTTCGGCTGACTGCCTGGAATTGGGCAGTTCGAATCTCATCAGGCTCAAGGCTGACTCAGCCTTCCATCCTTCTGAAGTGGGTAAAATGAGGACCCAAATGTTGTTGGGGGGCAATAGAGGCTGACTCTGTAAACTGCTTAAAGAGGGCTGTAAAGCACTGTGAAGCGGTATATAAGTCTACGTGCTATTGCTATTGCTATTTTAGGAGATGCTTGGCTACATACGGTGGCTCTGAGCAGCATCAATCAACCGCAATCGCTTCAGCCTGGCCTTCGGCACTGAAATACCCCATGTCACAAGAGAAAGAAGATTGAGAAGAAAAAGAACCAGGGGATCGCTGCCAAGGCTTTCCCCCTCTGCATAAGAACTGCTATGTCTGAGCTGAAGGCTGGTTTGTGTTTGTTCTGCTACTTGCAGCTCCTTAAGGCAGGTTGCCTGACTGCCAAACCAGCCAGGGGAAAATTGGCACAAGCAGGTGGCATATCCAAAACGCATCCAGAGAGAGGATAGACAGCAAACTCTTATTAAACCTGGGAGCCAAGAGAAGGCTTCGCCCAAGTGTCTTACAACGAGTACCTATTTTAGGCCAAAGATCACATGCATCATAGGGTATCAGAGGGCTGCAAATGCCCCACTTACAATTAGGCCATGAAACATGCAGCTACCATTGAATCTGAAAGAGTGGAAAGAAAATTTCGACCTGCAGGAAAGTTTCCTCCTGAGGCTTCTCTCTGAGCTTGGTGGTTTTCTTGCAGGAGTGTCGTTACTAGTTAACATCCTCAAGCACTGTTGAATTTATATTTAATGGCATAAAATAAAGGGAGACTAATATAGATCTGTTTCATGCTATTTAGCTCTCATCACGCAGCCATACCCTTTCTGGGACTTGAACCTGGAGTGTTTGCATATTAAAGGTAAAAGTAAAGGTTCCCCTCACACATATATGCTAGTCCTGTGAGGGCGAACCTATGACACGCATGCCAGAAGTGGCACACAGAGCCATTACTGCCGGCACACAAACCCTCGCCCAGAGCAGGTCTGCTGCTCATGCATGCCCGCCACCCACCCAACAGCTGATTGTCGGGTATCTGGTGTGCATGCGCAGGGGGTAGGGGTGTGCGGGAGATGTGACAGCATGCACAGAGATGTGTGGTGCATGGGGGGGGTCATACGCACATGTGCAGAAATGCGTGGCACATGGGGGATTATGCGTGCATGCACAGAGAGGCATGGAAGCCCAAAAAGTTTAGCCACCACAGTGCTAGTCGTTCCCAACTCTAGGGTGCAGTGCTCATCTCTGTTTCAAAGCCGAAGAGCCAGCGCTGTCCAAAGACGTCTCCGTGGTCATGTGGCTGGCATGACTAAATGCCAAAGGCACACAGAATGCTGTTTCCTTCCCACCAAAGTGGTCCCTATTTTCCTACTTGCATTTTTTACATGCTTTCGAACTGCTAGGTTGGCAGAAGCTAGGACAAGTAACGGGAGCTCACTCCGTTACTCAGCGCTAGGGATTCAAACTGCCAAACTGCCGACCTTTCTGATTGACAAGCTCAGTGTCTTAGCCACTGAGCCACTGCATCCCTTGTTTACATATTAGGTAGATGTATTAACAGCTAAGCCATGTGTTCTCCTTGCTTTGTTGGCTATACCAGGGGAGAGATTAAGTGTGGTTTTTTTTCTATCAGGGCAACCTGGTCTACCCAAATTTGGGGCGGAGCGTAATTCTTCCCCTTTCACCTTTCAGCCGCAACCCAGGAGCCTTCTCAGGCAGTTGCTTTTGCGACAAACTATTTTTTCAACACAAAGACAAAAGAAATTCAACACAAAAATAGTTTGTTACGAAAGCAACTGCCTGTGAAGGATTGAGGCTGAAAGGCGGAAGCAATATGCTCCGTCCTATATTTGGGTAGACCAGGTTGCCCTGATAGAAAAAAATCCTTTATCATCAAGCACTATTTGAGTCTGTCATCTGCACCTCTATAACTGTCTGGTTTGGTTCTGCAACCCAACAGGACAGACACAAACTTCAGAGGATAATTAGGACTGCAGAAAAAGCAATTACTACCCATCTGCCTTCAATCGAGGACCTGTATACTGCAAGAGTCAAAAAGAGGGCTGTGAAAATATCTACAGACCCCTCACAATCCAGACATAAACTGTCTCGACTCCTACCCTCAAAACGACGCTATAGAGCACGGCACACCAGAACAACTAGACACAAGGACAGTTCTTCCCTGAATGCCATCACTCTGCTAAACAAATAATTCCCTCAACACTGTCCAACTATTTACAAAGTCTGCACTACTATTACTGTTAATCTGCTCATCACTCCTTATCACCCATCCCCTGTATGATTGTAACTTTGTCACTTGTATCCTTACGATTTATATTGATTGTTTCCTAGTATGATTTGATTGTTTATTGTACCCTATAACTATCATTAAGTGTTGTACCTGATGATTCTTGACTCTCGGTGAATGTATCTTTTCTTTTACGTATACTGAGAGCATTTGCAACAAGACAAATTCCTTATGTGTCCAATCACACTTGGCCAATAAAGTATTCTATTCTATTCTATTCTATTCTACTCTACTCTACTCTACTCTACTCTACTCTACTCTACTCTACTCTACTCTACTCTACTCTATTCTATTTGCTTTGGGGAAAACACAGAATATATTGCATTACAGGACAAAATAGGAAGAACTGAACTAAGTAAGGATCATGATGCTTGGAATTGAAAGAATAGAAAGGTATGCAACCTAAATACTTCTTGGGATGTTTAGGGTCAAAGGAGGAGAGGTTTTACTCTAGTTTTCCTGCTTCCTTCCATAATTCCATAAATATGTCAAATACAGCTAGTCCTTGACACATAACCACAACTGAACCCAAAATTTCCACACCTAAGCAAGGTAGTGGTTAGGTGAGTATTGTCCCATTTTATGACCTTTTTTCACAGTTATTAAATGAATCACTTCAGCTACTGAATCATCTGGTCATCTGGCTTACCCCGTTGATTTTGCTTGTGGGAAGTTGTCTTACAAAGGTTGATCATGTGACCCCAGGGCAGTGTAACTTCAAATGATCACTAAACTAATGATTGTAAGTTGAGGACTACCTGTAAACATTGCAGCCTCCTCTCTCTCTCTCTCTCTCTCTCTCTCTCTCTCTCTCTCTCTCTCTCTCTCTCCCTCCCCCATCTTCTTCTCTCTCTCTCTTTCTCTTGTTCTCTCTCTTTCTCATTTTCTTTCTCTTGTTCTCTGTCTCTTTCTGTTTCTCTCTCTCATTTTCTCTCTCTCTCTCTCTCTCTCTCTCTCTTGTACTTTCTCTCTTTTCCTTGTCTGTC